GTTATCTTCTATTGTTGAGCAAAATGCAGTTATGTGGTACAAGATTATACAGAAAGAAAGAAAGATGATAGAAGCAGTGTCCAAGATGTTGAAGAAGAATTCCAGCATCCAAATCAATGGCGGTGACTGGATTTGCCCTGACAAAAAAAAAAAAATGTGGAAACATAAAGTTCATTAGAAGAACCAGCTGTACTAGATGCGTAGTCTAGGAAAGAACTAGGAAAAAACAACTGACGTTAAAATGATGAAAACTGGGCCTCCCTGGTGGTGCAGCGGGTTGAGTACAGTGCTGAGAAGCTGTCCGCAGTCTCTGCAGTGTGGGTTCGATTTCCAGCCGGCCAGGGAGATACCCACATGGCGCAGCAGACCTCACCTGCCACACCCACTGCTACCCTCAGTCAGTCTGCCTGTTCTGTTCCCCACTCTGTCTCTGGTGAATCCTCTCACCCTCCTGCGCCTCCGGCCTGTACCCCAGATCTTGCATACAAATAAATAAATCTTAAAAAATAAAATAAAATAAAATGATGAAAACTGGGGGACACTAAAATAGGAAAGACATTTGCAGAAAAGAGCCAAGGCTTATTAGGTGGCAATAACTGGCGGGATAAAACATGCAGTAACATGAATAGGGCCAGATCAGTGGGTAACATGTGTGATACTCCTGAGTACACTCCTAAGTTAGAAGAAGAGCAGGACACGGCCATGGTTTTAATGAAAGTGAACATGTTCAATACACAGAAAAAGAAGAATATGATGGTGAATACGATGAGTTTGGACATAAAAAATATAGAGGAAAGGCAGTTGGTCTCCATCTCTTTTAAAGGATATTGAAGATAAAGAATCTGAGGATGAAGCTCTTTCTAAATATAAATTAGGTGAGGATATTCAAAATATAATCTTGAATATATGTATATATCCTGGCACTGTGCCTGACCCTTAATATATATTTGTCGAAATGGAATTAAATAGTACATATTTCTGTGAAAAGTCAGAAATCCATACATAGCTAACACCAAAATAGTTTTATTTTAAGCATTTATGCAGCGCTATTTACAACATCTAGGGTAGAAGCAGCTTAAATGTCCATCAGTTGATGACCGGGTGAGAAGATGTGGTCTATTCACACTGTGGAGTACTATTCAGCTAACAGAAAGAAAAATGCAGTCATTTGTAGCAAATGGAAGAAGTTTGAGGGAATTATGTGACATGAAGTCAGAGTGACAAAAACATATAGTGGACATTTACATAGCAGATGACTTGATAAAGGATTCTTATAAAACCTAGGGGGCATTAATAAAGGTCATGAGGCCTCTGAGGTTAAGAGGAAGGCAGAGGGAGGCATGAGGGCACGGAAGTGATGGCGTTCGGGATACAGTGAATAACTATTTACCAAATTTAAATTGTGCAAATCTCCTACCCATAGGACTATGCCTCCATGTAACTATATATACAGGCATATATAAATACATACACACATAATTTACATCCATGGGAACCGTTTGAGTTTTACGGATACAGTTTATTTCAAGTAGGGTCAAATATTTCATCTTTTATGATAAAACTAATTTGCTCATGAGAATGTTTACTCCATCCAAGGTAAGAAAAACACACCTGGCTAGGCCTGGGCTATGGGGGTAGGACAGTCCCAATTGCCACTAGCGTGCAGAGGGCACCTTCTCTGGGTAGACAAGGCCCTGTACCCACATACTCTGTTGGGGGCTGGAGGCCGGGTAGGAGTTCAGCTCCCACATTTGCTGCTGCCTGGGTGATGTGCCCTTGTTCAGGCACAGCCTGAACCCCCAGAGGGGTTGCTCAGTGGTGGTGGGGCAGGACAGAGCTCTGGCCACCCCTGAGCAGCACTTCTCCTGGCTAAAAAACTGATTTGACTTCTGGATGGAAAGGGATGAGTCTCTTGCTCTCACCACTTCTGATGGGAGACCCCATGGAAAAGGGCCATTTTCCACATGTAAGGGTCAGAGGACTGTGCAGCCTCCAACTGCGCCTTCCAGACTGAATCTTAGGAAACAACCCAATGCTGATTCTCGATTCTTAAACAGCGAGGCTGTCCATCTGGTGGTGGATGAGTTTGTGATTTCCCTCTGCAACAAAGAAACCAGAAGTTAGTTTACACGTATAAAACACTGCACAGTGACTATTCCCTTATTATTGAATCAAATTTTACTGATTTACCATTTGTTTACAAAGTTAGGTAATTTGGGGAGAACAGTGTCACACCTCCGTATGTGTATACGCTTCACTTAGTGACTATTTGGAAATTCTATCAGTGGCACTAAATACAAGCTCAGGTATGGACTTCCATGCTCACGACAGAGGTCAATTCTAGCTCCCAGTGTAGCGAGGAAGACGAGCAGCTCTCATTGCAGTAACCTCATAAACTATCTTGAAATGTAGGGTCCTGGGTTATTAACAGTTGCATAATTTTTGAAACCGAGTTAACATCCTTTTAGTGTCTTAGTCTTGAACTACAAACCATGAGGAAGGCCTGTTCTAAAACTACTAAGATGAATTCATTAATTAACCTGGGAGCTTAAAAACCACTGTAGTATAATTTTTAAAAGGATTTTTATTTTGGAAAAAGAACGTAAAGCTGCTATTTGGGGATAAAGCCTTGGAGAGTGGAAAGCAACTAAGACTGGGTCCCTGGGTCCTGTTTTTGAAACTACCTAGTTAAATGAGATGGTGGTGTAAGTGATTTAATCTTGATGGGATTCATCTCAATATCTGTTTATTAAATGAGAATTTAAAGTTTTAAAGTTCTTAAAGCGCTATGATTTATTTCATAGTAAAAGTCCTTAAAGTAGGGAAAACGTCAGATAAAGTATCAGATCAGAATTTGTGATCACGTGTACACAGAAGTTGGTGTATACAACAGCCACGGGCAGAAATGTTAAATTCATCATCAGGGCCCCAGACTGAGTCAGAGCTGGACCAAATAATGCAGCAGGTTTTGGGGGTATTCAAATCGGACACCTCTTTTGGGAAAAAAAATCTCCACTAAGACAGCCCAGAGGCCCAGGAAGCAAAAGGGGCAGATGCCTTATCAAGCCAATGCCGCCACTTGGAAGGTCATTAATCAGTTACCCACCTCCAGCACCACCAACTTCCACATTGGCTTAGTTTAATCTACGTCCAACAAGCGAAGCAAACCCAAATATGGTGAACATTCCTCCATTGCCAAAATGGGAAAACCGCCTTATCACCTCTTCAAAATCTATCTACCAGAAAATCAGCTTCCCCGTAAAATCCTCAAGTGGGCAAAAAGCACATTTTGCGGCCAACGGGCTAGAGGCTCGTCCTCACGCCAATTTGCCGGGATTCAGTAAACGTCCAGACCCTCCTCTGCTCACGCACCGGCTCTGCGGGGAACCCTTCGCAGCCCGCGTCTGGCCGGGGTAGCGGCTCATTGATTCCTGTGCCCGGACAGGTAGCCAGGTAGAGCGGCGCGCTCCGGAACCCTGCACACCTGCCCCAGCTCTCCCTGCAGAGCCGCCGCGTCGGCGTGGGCACCCCTGCGGAGTCTCCCTGGGACTCCCCGCCCCCCTGCATTAAAAAGATCGCGGATTCCCGGGCCAACTGCTTCTTTCGGCCCCCGGTGGGCCGAGGTACCCACGTTCCCGGGGAGGCGCCAGCGAGGCCCGGTGGGGCGCTCAGGTGGGGCGCTCGCCAGGGGTCCAGGGCCAGCTCGCCCCGGCGGGGGCCAACCCTCCTGACAGCGGCTCCGGGCCCCCGTGAGCGCGCGCTCCGGGCCCTTGGGAGCGCGCGGGACCTCGGGCAAGTGGGGGTGCTCTCCAGACCTTCGCAACCTCCTCGGCGCCTTACACCCCCTGGGGTGTCCCCGCCCCGCGCCCCCACATCAGACCCCAAGGAAGACCTTCGCGGGCTGGAGCTTCCCTCTGACAATCCCCGCGAGGCAGACGTGGGCGTCCGTGCGCGCCGGAGCGGAGCGGGGTCGCGGCGCCCGCCCGGCCAGCCCCAGCCCCCTCGGCTCATCCTCCCGGGGCGGGGCGCGCGGGCGCGGCGCGGGGCGGGGTGGGGAGGCCCTGAAGGGGCCCCTCCCTTCTCCCCACACCCCCCCCCCCCCGCCGCGGCCTCCACTTACTCATTTTCTCCCGGAGTCCCAGCTCGCCGCGGGCACCTGGGGTTTCGCGAGGGGCTTGGGGCTGGAGCGGGGAGGCGGTGGGGAGTCCCCGGCCGCGCCCCCGCGCCCGGCTGGGCTCCGCGGACCCGGGCAGGGGACGCCCCCAGCCGGACGTCCCGGCGAGGCGCGCGCCGGGCTCCGCGCCCTCGGGGCGGGCTCCGGGGACCCCGCGCGCCCTCCCCCTCCCGCGGCCGCCGCGGCCCGCCGCCCCTCCCCGCCGGGTCCCGGGGGACGCGCTCGCGCCGGGGCCGCCCCCTCCCCTCCCCCGGCCCGGGCGGGGGCGCGGGAGCAGCGGTGACGTCAAGGGGCGCGCGGTGGCAGCACCTCCCCGCGCGCTAGTTAAAAAGAAGAAGAAAAGAGGGAGCGAAACATGAGAGGCTGTGCGAGACGCTGCAGCCGCCGGCAGAGGAGACCTCAGCATCCTGCAGAGCCCCGCGCGCGCCCCGCCGCCGCCCGCCGCGCCGCCGCCCCGCGCCCCGCCGCCGTCTCACCTGGGCAGCTCCCGTTACGCGGACCCGCGAGCCTCCGGGGCGGCCTCCTCGGCGGCCCCCGTCTCGGCCCCCTCCGGCTCCTCCGCCCCCTGCCCCGCCGCCGCCGCGAGCCCCTACCCGGGCTGACACTGGCACGGCTGCAGGCGGTGCCACCCGCCCGGCGCGCGCTCGCTCCCCGGGCTCCCCCCCGGCCGCGGACCGGCCGCCTCGCCTTTTCTTCTTTGCAAAGTTGCATCGCTCCACAGATTTGCGCCCCCGCCACTGCCCGCGGCCTCTAGGGTCCCGCCACCTCCTCCTGGGGCTGCGCCCCGGAGCCCCGCCGGGCAGCGGAGTCCCCCCACCCGGTCCCCGCGCGCCCAGCCCCTGCCGCGCCGGGCAGACGATGCTGAAGATGCTGTCGTTCAAGCTGCTGCTGCTGGCCGTGGCGCTGGGCTTCTTTGAAGGAGATGCTAAGTTTGGGGAAAAGGGTGAAGGGAGCGCAGCGAGGAGGAGAAGGTGCCTGAATGGGAACCCCCCGAAGCGCCTGAAAAGGAGGGACAGGCGCATGATGTCCCAGCTGGAGCTGCTGAGCGGGGGAGAGCTGGCGTGCGGAGGCTTCTACCCGCGGCTGTCCTGCTGCCTGCGGAGTGACAGCCCGGGGCCGGGGCGCCTGGATCCCAAGGTAGGCGCACGCCGGGCGCGCGCGGCGAGATTGGCAGGCGGGGCCGGCTGGGTGGGGTTCCCGGGGGCTCGGGCCGTGCCGGGGCGCCGAGCAGCGCGGAACTTGCTTGGGGAGTTCTTTGGGGGAACTTTTCTTGAGTGTTGGGGGGACTCCGTTGTGCTGGCGCGGGGTGCGCAGAGGTTCGGCGCCGGGATGCTGCGCAAAGCGCCTGTCTCGGAACAGCGAGGCTGCAGTGGTACCCGCGTCCGGGGCTGGGCATTTGCTTGGAAAGAATCGCGATGAAGGCGCGATGAGCAGCGCGTGTTGGATCCAATTGTGTGTTGGATCCAACAGGCATTGGCTGCGGAAAAGTGTACAGGAAGGTGGCTGTGGTTTCCGCTTGATTTTCCTGGGGTGCAAAGATTTGTGCCTTTTTCTCCACGTGCTCGGGGAGGGAGAAGGCTGGATCGTAAAGGATGTTGAAGCACGGTTGGTTTACGGTCCCCAGCCTCGACGGGGGAGTCGGGGAATGTCTTGCGTTGCAGCAGTTAAGCAGCGAAAGGAGACTCCTGGGTCTCCAGGGAAGCACCCGACACACTGGCGAAAAGATTTTTGCGGAGGCGTATTTATCACGGAAAACTGAGCCGATTCTCCGTCTCAGATTGTACCGTTTTTAACTTGACTTTGCATGATAATTAGCTGTCGAGAAGGATCTCTAGGACCCGGAGTCATGGCATTTACATTTTCCTTGTGTGGAGAAGTTTGAGCAAATGGGAAGATAGTGTGGGCTGTGTGCAGAGACAGGCTCAATTTTGAGTTTGCAACGTCTTTCTCGCCCTGAGATGCAGTAATGCCTACTATCCTCTGCACTCCCAGGAAAGTCTGGGGGGCGGGGGGTGGGGGTGGGGGTGAAGGGAGGGACCACGTCATTAACAATCACTGCACGTGAAATAAACAATCAGGTGTCTTTGCGCCCCCTCCCTCTCTCCATTTTAGGTTTAATTAAGAATTCCTCTGTTACAGCACTGCAGTTGTCAAGGTCTGAGACTCTTGGAAAAACTTGTGCTTCTGTCATGCTGGCCCGGGCATAATAAAAAAAATACCCAGGCTGAATCTAATTTTTATGCTCAGTTCACGGTAGATTTCACTCTATTCTCATGTAAACAGCTCCTACGAATCAACATATGTGTCTGGGTGGTATCTCTCACTTTGTTTTGTAACAAAAAGCCATATTGCATCATTTAATTTGCTCAAGTCATGCAAATAGGAAAAAATCAATAGGACAAAAAGGGGTCGACTTATCCTGCTCCCCACTAAACTGCTACCACACACAGAGTCCTGTTGCTTATGGCAAAAGAATAACAACAACACCATTGTGTTTGTTAGTTGGTTCACTAATGGGTGAAACCAGAGAACATCATTCTCTTTCAGTCCCCAGCCCTGTCCAAATGTTCATGCCTTTTGAGGGAGCATTTGTCCAACTCCCTCTATTCCCAAATGAGTGAGAACTGTCTTGCTGCAGGTTTTCAGCTGCAACTCTCTCTTTATTCTTACCATATGCAGCATTAGCCTGAGATTCAGAGACCAGATATTCCAGCATTTTATTCAAAACAATGTCATTAAGCTCCCGTGTTGTAATTGAATTAAATTACAAAATAGCTGCATTCACATCATCTGCAGGGCTTACCAGGAGCCCCAAAGAACCAGGAACCTCCAAGAACCGTTTAGAAATATTTGCCATTAAGCCTCCCTGCATGCGGTGTACACTACTGATGCGCCATCTGCAGACCCCTGTGATACTGAACTCTTCGAGGACAGGGGGGGACTGAAAACTTTTTCTTAACTAAATATAGAGGGGAGCTGGAGGGAGGGGCAGCTGGACTGAAAGGAGTTATAACTCTTAAAAGAAGTTATTTAATTTTTTTAAAGAAATTATTCTTTAGGAAGCAATCTGCCAAGTTAGCTGTCCACATTCCTTTTCGTTTTATGCGCTTCCAATCTCCAACAAACCCCTACTCATTTGGAAAATGTGTCTGAATTAAATTTGGTACACTAAACTTTGCTGGTTCCATTACAAGTGGTTTATAAACCAACAATACTCAAATTGTTCAAAACAGAGATTTGATATAGCTGTGCATATGCATTCTTGACCTATGTTAGTTCTCAAGTTTTAATAGTTTTTAAAACATGTTATTTTATAATAAACTTCAGTGTTTCACTTTTTTCCCCTAAGCCTTCCTGGCTTATAATATATGTTAGGGTCTTATTTCATTATGTATGTACAGGAGAGATGATGGCTATTTGAAAGGGCCCTTTTTTTTGTTTATGAAAAACAAAATTTCCCCCCAGAAAGATTTCTGCAACTTTTGAAAAAAAACTACAGGAGTAGCTTTTTCCTCTGGGAAGAAACTTCATAGACAAACAGATAGTACAAAAGTAGGCAGGAACATTGAGGATGTTCAATTGTGCAATTTAATTCCAGTTTCTGAACAAACATATTTTCTTTAAGGCAACGAACTAGCATTGAGTTCAATCATTTAACCCTGGTATTATGTTATTATGCTGTAATATTTTAATTTTTGGGTACATTTTAATCATTTTGCATACTCTAATAAGATGGTTAACTACCGTGACAAGTCAGGACAACCAACATTTAGGAAGTTATACTGTCCAAGCAATATTTTGCAACTCCCAAATCCAGCATGCTCCAAGTATCTAATTCCCATTAGCCAAATTGAATCTGCAACCAGCTGAACTACCCCCATTTCTAAAACTTAACTTGTAGCCACAAGGCATAGAAGCTCTCTCTACCTTGGGTGGTTTCACAGCCAAAGCTGTCAAGGAATGGGTGAAAAGTAATTGTTTTCAAGTGTGCCTTTTACAATCATTTGTTTGCTCTGGTTCTTTCAGGGACAAAGGCTATTGTTGAACACATCCAACTAAACAAATAACTCATCCTGGGGTCCCTTTAACAGCTGCCTTAGTACAATGATCTATTTACATATTAGCCTAAAATTGAAACTGAACTCTCTAATGACATAATCCAGCGCTATAGTCCAGAGACACATGTGTTCTACCCAACAGCTGAACAACCTTGTCGGCATATGATTTTTGGAAATAACTTTTTGTCCCCCAATTGATCTTAAGGCGACATCTTAATATACTGTCATGTATTTTCTCCTTTTGTCCGTTCATTGAACCCATGTGGGTGTCTCTTTATCCTCTTTGTTAAGTTACTTGATAAATAAGGAGAAATACAGAAGGTCTCTGTCACCCGTTTTCTCTTGGTTGATAAGCTATCGTTGTAGGCCAGCTTCGCTGGGTAGTCCAGTATTTATCTTACCTTTCTTCTATGGATTTTACTTTCGTGTGACTAAAGATTAAAGGATGACCTGCCAGATGTTATAAATTAGTCAGCAAGAGCCACAATCCTCTCTAGGCATGCTGTAACCATGGTTCCAAGTTCTACCTGATTTCCAAAGTCTATTTCATTTAAACCACTATAATTGCATGGTTTTGTGGATGGCTTTTTAAAATCAAAACAGGAAATTAGTTGAAATTTCTTCTTAGGGTTGATGGCACTGTCAGACATAAAGTTAAGGACAGAGACCTATTGGCAAAAGAGAAGAAAAAGCACCCTATATACCCCAGTACTCATCTGTCTAAAACAGGGCTGCAGCTTGGGCTGAGTCGGTTTAATTGACTTCAGTAAGACTATTGGTTCATTGAAAGCACAGCCAGAATGATAGCTCTATCTCTCTTCAAATAGGTATTTACACTGCAGACCTCACACAGAGCAAAATGTTACCATCCTCTGGGCTGGAACAGCATGCAGCTTTACAAAGAATATTATTCTACTCGATTGCAGATAATTTATTGAATCCCATTTCTGAAACTTTGGATGGGAGAGCTTGTGGCCAGGACACATTCCAAAAATTGTAAAAGACAAAATTCTTTAGGCACTAAAATCAAGTTCTTCCTGGATAGCAGCTGGGAGAGTATGTGGGGATCAGTCTGTTTCAGCTATAAAAATGGAAACAAGCCTATATTCTCCACAGAACCAAAGGTAATTACATTCCAGTTTTTCAGGCAGCAGAGGTGGCTTCAGCATGCTGCCGTTGTGCTTAGTGGATGACTATATAATAAACAAAAGGAGCAAAGTTGAACAGTATTAATATTCAGATCTGCTGAGGTGTGCCAGAGGATGGACAATAAAAGACATTTAAAACATTTTTGGAATGCAAATTCTAAGTGTCTGGTGTATGTTTGCTTTAGAAAAAAATACTTGAACCAGTTAAGCAATTTTCATTAAATAAATTGATAAAAATAAAAATGTAAATAAAATTATGACTAATAACTTTTCTCAATGTTGGAGGTAGTTAGAACACATCATGTATTGTTCTGAAACGGGGTAGCTTCTATTAGATTTTTAATTACTGCATGCTAAAATTTCAGCATGCTTGTATTCAGTGATTTTTTTTTTAATTGCTCTGTTCTTTCAGATCCAGATTTTGTGATCACCCAGAATATCTCCATCCTAAAAAAAAAAAATAGAAGTCACACGATATTCTCTAATTAGAACCTCAACTTGTGAATGAAATGTTTGCTTCCAACAATGATCTAGAGTTTAAAATGTTAATTCAGTCCCTGGTTCCAAGGAAATACGTATAAATATAATTCTATAAACTGGGGAAAAGCATCAAATTCAGTCCCATCATGGTGTTTTTTTAATATGAAAACTCAATCGTTGATGTAGACAGTACTACATTTCATGTCTCAAGACTGTCTTCTGTATTTATTAGAGGCATGCCTGAAGTCAGCCTTTTAGAGTTCGTGCTAAACACCAAGGCCATTTTATCTACAAATTACTAACCTCATAGCCCCCAAATTGGTCTTTTTAAAATGAAAGACTTAATACTGTGTTAATAATGAGAAAAGTATGTCTTTTTCATTAAAACTCACTAAATACTATACAGCAGCACTTTTATTAAACGCTGTGTTTATTCACGCATGTAACATACCTGAGGAGCTAGTTAGAAAGTTTTTCCTGGCTAAGATATAATGAATAACAAAAATAGGTCTTAAACCTATTTGATTCCGCTTCAGATAGAATTTTTATAGAACTTGAAAAGGAGAGATTTCCCCCAAGCTAGCAGCTTTCCCAGTGTAATTTATAAATTGAAAATTAATCGAAAGTTTAAAACGTCATTCAAATAACAGCCGTGGTTTGGTATCATATTAAGAATTCTAGGTGCGAAATAGATTTTTACCTCAGACACAAATAAGCCAGGTCTGAGAAGGTTTGCTTTCCCTACAATGGAAAAAGGTATTTGGAACTTCAAAGGTCTATCAGTCTGTATATACCCAGTGAGGCAAAGTGAAGGCATAAAGGTTAAAGAGTTTCAGAATAATTGTCACTTGACTGTTCACACCTGAAACACATCAACAGACTGACTTGGAAGAGTCAGATCCACTTTGGGGCATCCCTGCTGCAGGCTTGTCCATCCCAACCCAGGAGACTTAACTTAGATCCTTATAAAGACATCTGGGTTTTGGGATGGGGTTACTCTCTTTGACAACTGCATGGGCTAATATCCCCTTTCTACTCACATGGTCAAGGGAGGGGGCCATCAAAAACCTCAACGTAACTTCACATGCTAAAAAAGTTTCTTTCTGATTTATGATTTTCAGATCTTTTCTGTCACCAACAACACAGAATGTGGGAAGTTACTGGAGGAAATCAAGTGTGCACTTTGCTCGCCTCATTCCCAAAGCCTGTTCCACTCCCCTGAGAGAGAAGCCTTGGAAAGAGACCTTGTACTCCCCCTGCTCTGTAAAGACTATTGCAAAGAATTCTTTTATACTTGCCGCGGACATATTCCAGGTAAAAATAATAAATAAAGGGAGCGTATATTAAAAAATCTCCTGCAGGATATACTTTTCAAGATACCTGTTCTTAAATGCTGGCTCATGAGAGGGTAAAATTTATCTCGCCAAGCAAAATAACCTATTTTACCCGAATTTGAAACTCTTTATGCTGCTCAAGAAATTATGGTCATTTCAGTCTACAAATGGTATGTTTGTTTGGTTGCAAAGTTTGATGTTTCTTGTTAAGCTGATATTACAGTTGGTCATCTTTACACCCGTTGGATTATCAGCCCAAGTTTCTTGTTGGTGTTGTCTTTACCCATCGGTGTCAATATCGAGATGGTTTCCTCTTCTACACGACTGAGCTCCAAGCCAAGGACAGATTGGCCCCTGACTTTTAAAGTATGATTAGAAATCCAAAAAAGTGATGCCTGACAGAGCACCTTCCCCATAATGATTCATTTGCTCCCCCAAGCCCCCGGGAAGCAGGTAGGAATAGGGGAGTCATCGCCAAGTGGAGCATTATTGCCCAAGCTGTGCAACAAGAAGCTGGTAGGGTTGATGTCACAAGTACACCTGGTCACCAGTGTATTTTGGACCCTCATAAACATCCAGATCCTTGGGCATTGGCTACTTCACCATCAAAAGTTTGTAGGATTTGGCTGTGGTTGCTGTAATGGGAGGAATCAACAGAGGTAGAAAAGAATTTAACGAGACAGATTCTGTTTAGTTAGGCAAAGGCACACACAAACAAATCTACTGAAGCTAACAGTTTATAAGACTAAAGGCATTCCATAAAAAGACTGGCTTTAAGAACTGCGGGATGCACTGAGAGAATTCTTTTCTCTGACCCAGAAAAGTGTAGATTTGTATTTTTTAGAGTTCTCTTAATACCCTAAGAAAACATTTTGACTAGGGGTGCTGACTTCCTTTGCTGTACCATGACATGTACCTAAACCCATTCTTTGTGAAAATATTATTATTGTCTTTAGAAACTACAGCCATGTCTCTGAGACTTTTCTAAAAACCAGCTGTTTCTTCCTCTTTATGACATTCCCCAAAGCAAAGTAGGATAAGTCACGGTGGCTCCATGGCTGGGGGAGAAGTGATAACAGATTAGGTAACCTCAAGGCTGCTGCGGATTTCAAGTCTCACAGGTTTGCCTTACCCCTCTGAGAGCTGACAGTGCTAGAGGACTTTGCATTTTCATCCACCTCTATCTACTCAAGCTCAGTACAACTATGATGCATTTGGGGATTCATCTCTTGGGAGGGGGACAGCCTTCATCAGACCCCAAAATCCTATCCTCTGAAAGAGAGGGCACAGCAAACAGCACAGGAGTTAGAATGGCAAGGATCTCGCTCCCCAGATCAACATATGTGGTGACGAATGACACATTTATTTTTCTACAAAGTTTGTATATGTGTAAAACTGCTGAAGCGCATCAAGATGTCAAGTGCTTTTGGTGGCCACCCAGGCTGCCTGGAAAGATAACCAGATGAAAGCCACACTGCCCTGGTGCAGCGCAGCCAAGTGGGTTCCAGGGACAGCCTAGCCGGCTGTGGCTGCGAGCAGAAGGGCTTGTCTGCCTGGTGGACAATCTGATCATCCTTCTAAATGTTGGTCCCCAAAGTGAGCTGTCATGCACACCCTCTGCGTTATGGTAACCAGTTCCTTAGCCAGGCTTATGCTGGCAGGTAGGTTACCATTTCCTAAAGTATGATAAATTAAAGGGGTCATACCCCCCTCAGCCTGCACCCCCGACACAGAAGACTCATTAGAATTCTAGAACACTCCTATTTCAGATATTACTCTAAAAGCCAATTTGTAATTTTTTTTAACCTTCTTAAGTCTATTTACTGGAATGGTTTACTTTTCTCTGAAGTTCAAAATTGTGAAAAACAGCGACTTTGTGATGGAAACGAATTTTTATGAGGAACTATGTTTTGATTATTCTTATTCATAATCTTATCTTCCTGAAAATAAAAAACACAGGGAGGAAGGGACCCTAAGGGATGTATTTGCTAAGAGAAGAATCCTGGAGGGGGGTAAGAGAGAGAAAAGAATCCCTAGGACATGTTCATTTTGCACTCCGGTTGCCCACCATATCGGGAAATAAATATTACATGATCTATCCCTTTGCTTGACTTTTACAGCATTAAGAGACCTTTGGTCACTTTGGAATATATGTGTAGCTGAAAGATAGCTACTTTCTAGTAAAGCTCAGTTCAGAAATATTCATAATGTGCTTATTTCCCTAAAGATGAGAAAAGAAGTTAAACAATGAGTGAAATGACACTACTTTTATATTAATTTTAACATTCCCCAGTTGTGGATTTATATAGGGAAGTAAACTCTTGAAATTTCTAAAAATACCAAAATTTTATTTAAAGAAAAACACAGAAACTCCTTGCTCAGCACCACAGGTCTTTTCTCCTGCCTGAATTCTGTTGGCTGAATGCCAGCATAGCACACCCTGAGGAAGCACAGAAAGGGACATCTCCACTCCTTGCCTCACCTGCGTCCTCACTGTCACTGTGATTTTTATCACTCATCCACTGTTACCTCTTCAGCTGTAGGTGATTGTAGTGTGAACTCTCTGTCTACAATTAGTCCAATGGGTTGAATCCTGTGGCTAATGAGGCCAAGGTCAAGGGTTTGAGTCCACTGAGTTCCTCTAGTCCAGAGGCACTTCTGACCAGGTCAGATATCTTGCACATCTGTCTGATTAGCCCCCAGGAGAAAGCTTGGATGGATGCATCAAAATCTACTCATTCTTGTGGAAGATGCCCTCCAGTCCAGGCCTTCCTGAGAGAATTTGTGTTTTGTTTTTTTCTTTTCTTTTTTTTTTTTTTTTTTATAGAGGCATGCTTTATTTATTTGTTTGCTGGTTTGTTTGTTCGTTTTGTTTATACATGCACTGGGTACAGTCAGAAGCGCGGGAGGGTGAGAGAATTCACCAGAGCCAGAGCGGGGAGCAGATCAGGCAGAAAGACCGAAGTACACTGCTGAGGGGAGCAGCGGGCGGCAGGAGAGGTCTGCGCGCCATGTGGGACCCTCCTCCGGTGGCCGGGGAGCAGCCGGAGATCGAACCGGCGCCGCAGAGGCCGCGGGCAGCTTCGCAACCCAGCGCTCAACCGCTGCGCCACCGGGGAGGCCCTTGTTTTTTTCTTTTTTTCCTTAACATGAGGAACAATGTATATAATGAGGAAAAAGAACTTGGCTTTAGCATCCAAGCTGAGAGAAAGGCCAGAGCTTGGAGCACTCCAGAGAATCTGCATCGACCTGTCAGTGTCTTTTTTCAATTGAATCACCATTGTTTTACATCCTTGCTAGTGTGTTTTGACAGTGTGGGGTTTCTCCCCTCAGCTGTAGTCACCATAGCTCTCCCACCGCCCAAGCACCCAGGGTCTGTGGCGATTTGTGCTATAAGAGGATTGGACTCATGAGCCAGGAGAACAGTTACCGGTCCAAGATAGTTGATCACTTATCGGGAGTTTTTAAAAATGCAGCTGTTGGAACAATCAGCTCTTCCCTCATTCATAGACTTGACCACGTGATGGTAACTCGTGGGGGGCGAGGGACACACACTCTCCTCAGTCAAAGGCTTTCTTCCAGAGACAGGGTTGTGGGGGAACCTACCATTTGGTAAATTAGATTTTTCCTGACAATAAATGTTAGCCCAGTGGCCCCAAACTGGGTCCCTTTCAGCTCTCCACAGAAAGGTATCACTTATTATTCATTATTCGCAAAATCGAATCACTTAAGGTAAATGTTAATAAAAGCATGGGACTTTTCAATACAAATATGATCATTGTTTAAAAAAGACCATATTTTTAAGCAAGTATATTCCACATTGACTCATACCTTCACCCTTCAATAATTCAGTTTGTCCACAATCTGTGAAAAAGCTAGGACAAAGTCGTTATTACCACTGTATGTGTATGACTTCATTTGCTCAAAGAGCCTGGTATCTGCAGCCATAGAGTTTATGAATCCGCACTCATTTGAAAATGATTTCTTATTTCCTCATGTTTGTCCCCAGCTAATAATTCATTACAAAATGGAATCAGCCACTAGCATTGTTCCTTCATTTCCTCTTAAGATGGTATTGGTTTACAGCTTGTTATGCTGGATACAGATCGTTTTTTAAAAAGCACACTTGAAATTTGTTCTGAATTATGCTTTGAAGTTTTTCTGTGACCCCCCACAGGCAAACATCACATGAAAACAAAATTTCTCTTCACACATTTTGTTATAAATATATTCTTAATAGGACAGTCTTCCTTCATGCATAATATTGGCATGGAGATCTTGCTGCCTGATGTATGTGTGTGTGCGTATCTGTATATATATACATATATATATATATATATATATATATACACACACACACACATATATCACAAAAATCTAGCCTAAAATTGTATGTTGTGTGAGGTTTAATTTAGTAACTCCGTTTTCCTTCTGTTTTACCTCAAACGGACTTGTTGAACGGACTAGGCACTTTTCACCTGTTGATATATACTTAGCCATAAAAGAATGGAAGGGAAAGACTATCTTTTGCAAACAGTCAGTTGCTGAAGACGAGTAAATGTGGCTTCAGGCTTCATTCCTCACCCCAATTTCTAATCCCACAATTTTTTTCAAAGGAAGAAAAGAAGCATCCCAGGAGCATCCTTCTCAGCTGCCAGGCCTCCTTTCTTTCCTCTCCCTGCCCCAGCCTCCTCCCACACCCCCGCTCCCCAGGATGTCTGCTCTCATTTGCCTACTTCCCAAAGAGATGTTTCCCAAAAGCCTAGTCTGCTGTTGGCCTTGAAGAGTCTGCCTCAGAAATTTAGGAGCGATACATCTCACCCAAAAGTGAGATCAAAGTGCACATAAAATGTGAGCCACTCGGAAACCTTCAGATGCTAAGGTTAATTTTTGGTTTGAGGGACCTCAGTCAAGCGCGCAGAAAATAAACGTTTAGTCTGTTTCAGGTTCCGTTCATAATCCTCACTCGCTTTGTCCCCTAAACACTTCTTAGGAATCCTTGCAAACCTGGATTCATTACACAACTTCTGGACTTCAGCTAAGCTACCAGATTTAATACAGATTTACTACAGAGCACTGTATTAGATCAACTCTGGTAGCAATGTCACTAAGAACAGAAGTCATCAGACTTTGGAAGCGGATCATTAACAGGCCCTTCTCCCCCAAACCAATAGAGTTGCCACAGGAACTTTGTTGCCGCATATAGGCTAGTAAAAGGTGATAATGCAACAATGGTATGAGGAATAAGGTCCGGAGGGTGGGATAGGAATGGGGGACAAAGTTTTTTGAGGAACACGGAAGGGTACATCGTGACCATACGTCAAGAGACATTTGCATCAGCAAAGTATGATGTTGTCACAGGTAGAGTTATCCCGAGACCACCATGGAGACAGTCGCGTAAGCAGGACAATGGCGGCCGAGGTGTCCCTGGGCCTGACTCGTGATACAGGCTCTACTCCGTAGGTAGTCAAGGAATGCTCTGCTATGATTTGCAGATAGCAAATAAGTCACAGTTGCCCATGAGTGGCCAGCTCGTAGCCAGCTCATAGGAACCCACACAATAACTTAACTTCTATTGTAAATGTGATGTTGAATTTTTTCTTTGTCATAAAGCCCTCTTCTCATTTAGTCCAATATAGCTTGTTTTATTTGATTAAAATTCTTGATGTGTAAGAAAAAAAAATCTTTCATGTTCTATTACATAAGTTGATTTTACATTTTTATTTTGGCTTACTCTGCTTTTTTTACTTTTCAGTGAGGAGTGATAGGTCAACTATCCTGCTTGAGGAGACTGAAGGGATATTTGAAATATAATTTTTGTATTACAAAATGATCATTGCCTCCAGCAAGTGAGATACAGGAAGAAAAACAGACACTATTTGCATCAATTGATTCGCATCAATTCACTACTTTATCATAACAGCGAGTCGATCATTTATTTAGGCATATGATAACCTTGTGATAGTCTTTAGATTTATTAATCATATGTCAGTGACAGTACAATAGGATTATACAATGGTTCTTGATAGCCTCTTTCTTGATTCTACTTTGTTCTTCTTAGGGGTTATTTAGGACTGTAGAGAAGAAATGATCTGGGGAAGCTGGAGAATAGTGTCAGTGCAGTAAGTGACAGGTTGATGCTGGGTTTGTGTTGTATGTCCTCTGAGCCTTTTAAAATACCCAATACGTTGTCATTTCACTTTGAATGTAATTCTGAAATTTTGGTTTTGAAAAAAAGAAATGGAAGGGCCAAGCCAAAAAATTATATTCTTTCCTCTTCTTTTTGTCTGTGTATTTTCCCAGACTAATCGTATGGTTCTTAAAAATTGTCTACCAATATTGTATCTTTTCAATAGGGGGATTTTACTATGATGCTGAATATGTCTAATGAGTCTGTCTATATCTTTCAAAGGTTTCCTTCAAACTACTGCTGAGGAGTTTTGCTTTTATTATGCAAGAAAAGATGGTGGGTTGTGCTTTCCGGATTTTCCAAGAAAACAAATTAGAGGGCCAGCCTCGAACTACCTGGACCAGATGGAGGAGTACGACAAAGTAGAAGACATCACCAGGTTCATAACGATAAATGCTCCTTAACCATTTAAAAAACCCAACTGACAAGTCTTGTGATTTCTGACAACAAACCCACTGTGCTTGTGTCCAGCAGGCTCTGTCCTGCAGATGGCTTTCTCTTTTCCTTTTTAATCATTTGTTTCTCTACGATCACATTAGCTTAAATGCTTCTAATGCGTGGCTACTAATCTACTGTTATGAGCTTGGCTTCTCTATGATTCATGTGAATTTTATGAGTATCGTTTTAAACTTGAATTTTATAATTGGTGTTAGCTTAGTGCAATGGAAATATTCAGCATAATTATTATTAGCGAATCAGAGTTTTATAAATAGACCTTAGAACTTTCTCTCCGAGTGCCTTTCAGTAAGATTTAATGATTGGGAGTAAAGCTAATTTTAATTATAGTCACTGAAAAGTGAGGTGAGCTCAGGAAACTAAAATACATACCTGTTTTGATTCTCTCTTTTACTTTCTGAGAGAAGGCTGCTTTGTTTGCTTCCATTGAAATGAATTTAAAAGAATCACTTGAGTCATAATGTGACCTGAGGTTAGCAGTGCTTCGTGGTTCCAAAGCCATTGATTCCGGGGAAATGTATTTAGAAAAAGATGCCCAGTAGTGCCTCTCCTCCTTCATCCCAAGCAAAGCTTACTGGTTTTCTTTAATTTGTTTAGAAAGCACAAACACAACTGCTTCTGTGTTCAGGAGGTTGTAAGTGGACTGCGCCAGCCTGTTGGGGCCGTGCACAGTGGGGACGGCTCGCACCGGCTGTTCATTCTGGAAAAGGAGGGTTTCGTGAAGATACTCACCCCCGAAGGAGAAATTTTCAAGGAGCCTTATTTGGACATTCACAAACTTGTTCAGAGTGGAATAAAGGTTGGCTTTTTAAATTTTATTTATCTTTGCTCTGGCCATGTTGATTTTATTTTAGCGTTATCCTCTGTGAAGATATTACTTTGTAATAAATCAAAGACTATTTAAGGAGACAACATAAGGGAACAGTAATGGCAACTGCATTGAGACAATGACATTAACATTTTAATGCTCTTTGGTGTCTATTAAGCAGGGCAATAAGATTGATGTTTTGACGTCTCCCCTATGTAAGTGACACAATTTAATTCTTTGTTTTATAAAATGTATTTTTAAATGTTTTTTAACAGGCATTCTACTTAGAACTGTGTATCAGGATATGCTAGTGGAAACAGGTTTTTGGGTTATTGTGGCAATTGCAAATTACTCTCTCATTGAATCAGGTTTTGAGTCTGTGTCATAAAAAAATGTTACTTATACTGTGCCTTCCTTGTACTGTACAGAGTTTTCAAGGTAAGTCAAATACTTTTATCTCTAATTAGCCATCTTAATGCTCTATAGGAACATCTATTGCCTTTTCCACTTTTCCAATTTGGGGCCTCAGGTTAAATAACGCTGTAGGTATGTAGATAAAATTGTCAAATCTGTTTCATGGGAGTACACAGCTCAGTATTGACTGGGCTGCTACAGAAAATAACGGTGTTCTAAAATTCAGACCTGTCAGATGGCTCTTCGCTATTTTGGAATGAAGCAAAGTAACAGTATGATTTGGGAAGAACTGGCTAGCCTTTTTATTTCTTCCCTGGAAAAAAATGAAGGGAGGATTTGCACTCTTCTACCCAGATAGAATTAAACTCCTTACTTTTTGAGCTCTACTCATAGGCCAGAATCTCAAAAGCAGAAGTCAGTCAGAAAAAAACATAGATATGTTCCTGATGTCTACTCAGCGGCTGTCTTGTACAACCATTAGGATGGGTCAGTGAGAACACAGGGATGGCCATCTTATCGGGGTCAGCCAAACTCCAGCTCTTGTTGTGACTGTGACTGCAGGAGAGAAGTGTGTATGACATGTGGGGTCCTTAAGGAAAAGCATGTTGGCACCGAGTCATCAATGATTAGGAAAAAGCCATTTAACTCAGTAATTCCAACTTTTTCCCAGTAAAACTTTTCATTAGAATTCACAGCAAATGATCAATAGTCTCTTAAAATGAAGCATTAGTGATTTGCACATCAGAGTCCAATAAATACATTCCATATTCCATATTCTGTGGTGTGTTCCGATAACTCGCCAACAGCAGAGCCTAATGAGCAAAGAGTAGAGATGTGGCAGCAGCATATCTGCTCACTGGCAGGATATTTTCTCTAACTATGAAAGTTAAATGCACTTTCTATAAAAGGAAAAATTGGGGAAGTACTTTCGAAAGTCCATCACCTACAGTCTCATCAATTAAACAGTATCACTATTAGAGTTTTGGTACACTTTCTTCCAGTGTTAATATTAAAATTAAGTGAATCTTTCCTGAATACAAAGGAAATACAGACCCCTATTAACAAAGGTGGAAACACACAAGAAGAACATACTAGGCTTTCTCCTAAGCAGCTTTAAAATAAATTCAAAGGCAAACCATATATACATCTTCAGCCTTCTTATTCCACTTAACAATATGACTTGAGTCTATTCCCAGATGTGGAAACTTTTCCTCCAAACTGAGTTTTTAATCTCTTTGGGGTGTTTCATTTACTTATTCTGAGACATTTGTGATGATTCCATCATTTTCTTTTTACCATCATAAATAATGTTCTTTATCGTTCTTGTACACGTTCTATCACTTGGTCCTTGGTATTCATTCACCGACAGAGCATATTTGAATGTAAGAGCATACACCATGACACACAGCACCAATTTACTCTAAAGTGTAACGTTTTCAAGTACTTGAAAGACTAATAGTTTTTAAATATCTTTTGATTTAAAAAAGTTAATATTCAAAAGATATTTATAATAAAATGTAGGTGTAAGAAAGGGACTTAGATTACTTGAAAATTTTGTTATGAAAGTGAAAAACTGGTGTTTCTGTTTCTACTTCAGTTAAAAGAATGTCTTCTTTTTCATTGGGGTTTCTTGAGAGTTACTTGGTTTCTGTGTGTGCTCAATGTAGGGATACTGAACAGAACTTCATCTTCTCTGACATTTCATTATGTGATAAAATCATATGAGCCAGATATGACTGCTGGGTATGTGTTCGGCACATCTCCAGGAATTTCCCAAACCCCCTTTGGCCCTTCTTTCCTAGGAGAGTTCCAGGACTTCTGGGCCATCCAGAAGTCCTTCATAATCCATTATTCTACATACATCGTAGAATCTATAATATTATATATTTTAAAGTGCAATATATTGCATTCCTTCAGTATTTATTATTCCCATGATGTCAGTAAGATGGGAATATTTGAGTTTGTACAGTATAATGAATAACAAGACCACATCTTTATCAGCTAAGGTTATGTTACAAATGGCCTTTCTCTTAATGCCCATGGAACTCCCACGAGAAGCTAAATGTTAGAAGAGGCTACTGTTGGTGTGGGGCCAACATTCAAGAGCTGAAAATACCACTGAATTTTGTGGTAGGCTCTTCGGAGACTTCTGAAGTCCTGTAGGGAAAACATTTCACAGTAGTTTTTTCCAAGCTTCTTTAGATCCATGAGTAGTGTGTTCTTGGCAATATTCTGTTTTTGTCAACAATATTTTACATAAATAATGCAAATTGGATTTTCATAAACCCTTGTATCTATCATTTCTCTATTCTTTTGGTTTTAAGATTCAAAGACAGAGCTTAGAGCTGCCTTAACAAGCTAAAGTACAGACTGCAATACTCAGACCACAGAATTAATGATGTACTCTCAGCCCCAATTTCATATGTTAACATGAAAACAAGACAAACCACAGTGGAGACTCCCCCATGCCATTAATTAATGACCAGTATGAGTATATTAAATCAGGCATACAGAGGTATTCCTGGTTACAGCAGTTTCTAAAAGCTAATGCTGGCTATAAAGGAAACTGGATTCCTTTCCTGCTAATTGTCAGTTAAGAATTGACAGTGATTGGTCAGTTCTTGGTTTGTCTCCGTAAACCTCTGTAAGTTCTGATCTTCTGAGACATCAGCAAAGAATCCATCATGCAGGAAACCTGGATACCTCCCCTCAGTGGGTCTGGATGGAAGCTATGCATATGATGTCTTGTTATTAAACACCCAGATGGTACAGCCTGTATTTATAGAGTCCAGCATGCTAGCTGTCTGCATTTCACTGGGCAAAAGTGATGTGCAAAATTGCAAAGCACGAGCGAAAAAAACTGTCTTCATTTTGTTAAAGGAAATGAAATGTGGACTTGGATTAATGAAATAAATGCTATACCATGTGAATTTCAACTGTCACTTCATTTAAGAAGAGTTGATTCCAACCTAGAGGACAGATTATATACTTGACAATGTTATAATTACAAAATTATAACATTGTCAAGCGGAGTGAATCAAATATGTTTTAGAATTTTATAGTGATTTGATAGCTCTTTGGTGATGGGGCAGTGTAGGAGCTAACCGCTAACAGTGACAGTGTGAAGAATGCCTGTGTCCGACTGATGAGCAAACTTGAACATCTTCATTGTGGGGGAGGGCAGGGGGAGCCTGCACGCTGGTTTTTGCTGTTGCTATTGCTGTTTTGTTCCAAAGAAGGAAATTACAAAAATGTATAATATCTTCAAGGAAAAAAACTTCTTTAAGAAACTGGCAATTTGAAATCTTTAAATTAAGCATATATGTGAATTTTGAATCAGAACTTGTGGCAAGTGTAGAACCAAATACATCTGTCTGAAGTCCTTGGGGAGTGACAGACCTGTGGTTCTCAAGATGACTTCACAGTATAATCTAGAACCTTTCCAAAATTCTATCACCTCAGTTGAATCAGAATAGCTGGGTGGGAACCCAGTGTTTTTAAAGCTTTTCTGGGGGATTTCAATGGGTAGCCAATGGGAGAGCCACACACCTACATAGAGCAGGGCCTCTGAGTCACTTACATGCTTTTTCTGCCCAGTCTCTGCTCAAGTCCCTTAATGAAATGGCCTCTGGGAGCAAATGGTTGGACACCACTTGTCATTTGTCCTGTCCTTTTGCCATTGACTTGGCCTACACGTCTCACCTGTCCACTCTGAGTGATGTGTTAACTCTGGCAGCATATAAGCTTCTTTTTTTTTTTTTTTTGTTTCACCCCTCAACATTTATTTTATATTTATTCTTAAAATTTGTAGTCATTTTTAATATAAAATAATTCATTGAGTCCTTACTGTAGCATGAATCTTAGGAGTTTATTTTATTTTATTTTATTTTGCTTTTTTTTAATTTTTTTTATAATAAACTTTATTTTTATATTCCCCATACAATTTCAACCCCCCCATTTTGACCCCAATCCCTCTCCTCCCTCCACCCACCCCCCCAAAAGTGTCTCTGGTTCATAGATTTTTGTTGATTTTGATTTTCACTTTCTTATAGTTATTCATTTTCCTGGTCCCTTATTTACGTTTTCTAGATTCCTGCTATGAGTGAGACCATCCGGTATTTTTCTTTTTCTTTCTGGCTTATTTCGCTGAGCATGATCCCTTCCAGTGCCATCCATGTTGCTGCAAATTGCATGTGTTTATCTTTTTTGAATGCTGAGTAATATTCCATGGTATATATGTACCACATCTTCTTGATCCAGTCATCTATATTTGGGCATTTGGGCTGTTTCCAAAGCTTAGCTATTGTAAATAGTGCTGCTATAAACATAGGGGTTGCAGGTGTTCTTTGGAATTGATGTTTCTGTGTCCTTTGGGTAAATACCTAGGAGTGGAATTGCTGGATCCTATGGAAGCTCTATGTTTAGTAGGTCCAGAAATCTCCACACAGCTCTCCATAGGGGTTGGACCAGTTTGCACTCCCACCAACAGTGCAGAAGAGTTCCTTTTTCTCCACACCCTTGCCAACATTTGTTGTTGCTAGTTTTTTTAATATGTGCCATTCTCACTGGTGTAAGAT